TCTTTTAAAATGGCTTGGCTTGGCTTAGCTTGTTAGATAGTCGCCCGCCTGCTCCTCTAAAGTAGAAGTACTTTTTTGGATTCGGAAAGAAGGCCTTCGGCAAAGACTCATACGCAGAAGACAAAGCATGCTATGACGAGACCGGTTCAACAAGCATTGGCCTAAACAGTTATTTTGAATGGGCGGTTTGGCCAGCGATTCTTCCAATCTCAAGTGCCGCAACGGCACCGCTGGTTACAGGTTGCGGCTACTGGACAGCCTTGCATGACAGCTGGGAAGACCTACAGGTGCACCTGGGTCTCGTATCTAGAAGGTAACATGGCGGTCTTCCCAGCTGTCATGCAATCTCGACACGGGCATCGATGCTCTTGGGACGTACAGAACCTGACCCATGATGTCGAGGACTACATCACTCTCGTGCAAAGGCGGCTGGTCGCAGCGAGCAGCTTCTAAGATGAGTTGGGATGCTTCAGAGAGAAAAAAAGCAGCAAGGACTGCATCAGATCATCGCCTGACTTGAGCTCTGAAGCCAGTTCGATGCAAGGAACTCCGAGGAGATCTTGTGCAGAATCATATCTCAGCGGCTACCTCCTGCTACTAGTGCTGCTACTGCCACTCCTACTCCTACTCCGACTGCTTCTGCTTCTGCTCGTGCCCCTACTCTTGCTCCTGCTCCTGCTGCTCCTGCTGCAGCTCCTACTGTTGTTGATTTTGTCACCGAGCTACAACACATCCATAATGTCTTAGAACTTGCCAGGGCGCAGGGTTCAAGCGGCCCCCCCAGCCCGTCGAGTCGACTGCGCCGTCGGGAGCTTAACTCCTAAACCTGAAAGATCCGAAAACCTGACACCTAAACTGAGACCCCCTTTTTCCGAGGTAACAGTATCAGGTATCGAAGATACTTACAGGGCCTGGGAAGCCCAGGACCAGAAACCCAAAGCATCCCCTGGGCATTCCAATTGAAGACAGAGCAGACAGTTGCCCGGAAGAGACGTGCATGGGTATGGAGTCACGGCCTGAAGATCTGTGGGTGGACGTGCAGAACATCACAAGTTGAGATTGGTTGCCCGTAACTCCTGATATGGGTCAGCGGCTCTTTACCTGCCCCGTGAAACGCCTTTCGTGGCCCGAAACTTGGCTGAGGCCCGACAGCTGGAAAGTCGTCGGAAGCTCATGCATCGGAACTGTGCGGATCCATGGATAAGGTTTTCTTTCGGCAGTCAAGGGTGTCTTGTCTGTGTCCGAAGAGAGTCGGGAATCGAGGCCTTGCCGGATGATCCCATCGAAGACGTGTGATGGCCCGCAGCCTTCAGGGCAGCTCTGTAGCCAACGGACAAGCCAGCTTGCCCCTGCAAGAAGACACGGCCACCGATGGTCATCAGGTTAGCTTGGAACGGATTTGTGCGGGGCAGAAGCGAGTGAAGCCATTATGCCAAGTGATAGCTTCGGCAAATGATGCGGGGATGGGTGTGGATTCCGTCTGCATCGGCACTGCTCAATGGCTATTCCACTCCACAAACTCCTGCAGCCGACTTTTCTCGAGATGAGGTCGGTCTAACTTTGATGGAACCACGAGGCCAAAACACCATCGCGGGCGGGGAAAGCTTGCCCCGTTGACTGCAACGTCGGATGTAGTAGTTGTGTCTCTGTCTGAGCTGGCCAGAGCACGAAGCTTAGCTTGCTTAATTCGGCAGCCTACATAAATCTGTTGCTCTGTCACATAGCGGTAAATATTTCGCATAGACATTTCCAACTATTGTACTTATTGACCATCAGGTATTGCAAGTCTGGACTGTCAGACTTCATCATCATCCTATTTTAATATGCATATGTGTATATATACGTATATAAATACATGGGTGGTCTTCAGTAGAATTGCACAGGGTTCCCTACAAGGACTGTTGTTGTCACAACTACCCATATATAGCACACATATATGTATATATGCATACGTACATGTGTATGCACATGCGTACATATGCCTGCCTGCCTGCCTGCCTGCCTGCATGCATGCATGCATGCATGCATGCATGCATGCATGCATGCATGTATGTATGTATGTATGTATGTATGTGTGTGTGTATGTATGTGTAGGTGTGTGTGTATATGTATATGTATATGTATATGTAAACATGTATATGTATATGTATGTGTAAATGTACATGTGCATGTATCTGTATCTGTATCTGTATCTGTATCTGTATCTGTATCTGTATCTGTATCTGTATCTGTATCTGTATCTGTATGTATGTATGTATTTATGTATGTAGGTGTATACGTATATGTATATATATATATATATACGCACAGATAGATAGGTAGATGGATGGATAGATAGATAGATAGGTATACATATTCAATACATGCGCACACACTTCGTCATTACTCATAAAAAACGAGGGTTTCGGGACCCCATCTCTTGGCTGATGCTCGGTAACTTACGTAGTCTAAGGTGAATCTTGTGGGGTCTACACTTGCAGCTGTCTGCGGTCACCAAGCAAAGCCTCGCAACCATGCCCGGATCCCTGCATGTTGCCTGACAATAAAGGGCTCAACAATTTCGGGATAAAGGCCTTCTCGTGGCGTCGTTCACGCCACATGTTGGGAATCCTTATGTTTCTGGTTCCCTAGATTAGCCGAATTCATTACGGCCTGCGCGGCCTGGCAGCATTGAGTCTGCATACGCATGCGCGGATGTGCAAAAAAAATACGCCGTGAAGCTTTGAATGGCATTTTGTCCTTCCAGACTACACTGGAAAGAAAATAAACAACAAGTCGCGTTCGCCATGGTGTGAACGCACGAAGTCATGTCCTCACAGACTCCGAGATCACCCACTCGCTTCTGGGGGCTTTGCTTCCATTCTCCGAAGAGCTCCCAGTCAGCTGGACTCACATTTATGAATTAGTTTACTTAGTAAGCAATACTATTCCTTCATAACCCTAAATTTGTTCTTGTACGGGTCATGGGACTCGTAGTATGCCATATGACCGATCCATCACGCTTTGTGAAGGTGTGATAGTCCCAGGCAAGGCATGGGACAGAGGCCAAGCCTGTCCTGTCTAGTGTACACTTTGGCGCCATCGGTTCGACAATCGACCGCCCTCAGACCCCACCCAGGACCGGAGGAGTCCCCGGAGCGTGACGCGTTAAAAGTGAAGCTCCACAAGCTGGAGCCGTAGCAGCGCGCAGGGGTCTTGACAAATGCCTTGGGTGAGTGAGTCTTTCGGCTAATGGCATAAGGTTGGATTTGTCCGCAAGGCACATTGTTAGTTCGAGCACTGGCACCACGTCTATTTTTGGTGAACCAAAGACTTTGTAGTCAGCTGCTCATGAGGCTCCAAGACGCCTCTACACCCCAGGCATTCACTCGTATTTGGATCATCACCCTGATAGCCGCGAGCAGCGAGAATCAGCAAACCCAGGGCACACTGTTTCAAAAAGCCAGTGGCGTCGATCAAGGGCTTGTTTCTGCCCTAGGTTGAAAAGCCTGCTTGTCAGGGGCATACCCCAGACCGGGCAGCCCACGGTCCTGTGTGAGGTTTGGCGAAGTCGGCATTTCAAACTAGCATTAATAATAGTATTCATATTAACATGATGAATATTATATAGTAGAATAATAATAGTAATACGTAGTTAGTGTATCTTGTGACTCTGGCGGTCGTGTTTTTGAAGTGCACCTGTGCTGCAACTCCTCTGCCCGACTTCAACTCCTGAGGTTGCCGCTCCTTGTTTCCAGCTCCGCGTTGTGGGCCTGACGGTGCATCGCCCCGAACCTTGATCCCGGAAGTCCGGGACCCAAAGGCCCTAAACCCTGCAAACCCCTTAGCTGGCCTTACCCTAAACCCTGCACTCTTCAACCCAAACCGTCAAAACCCTGTGCCCTAAACCCCACACCCGGCACCCTAAACCCTGCAGAACCCTAAACCCTGCACACCGGGCTTCGCCATGACTCCGCCTCCTCCATCGGCGAGATGACGCGGAAGGCGCTGAAGAGACCGGCCGCAGGTTCCGCAGCCCGCGCTATGATAAGGGATATAATAATAGTAAAAAGGGGCGGTCAGAAGTTCTGGACCATCGTAAGTTCTGAAGGTATAACAAGGATGTATGATAATTATTAAATATAATCAAACGGGAGTACGCACGAGGGCAGAGGGAATAGTGTTGCGTACGGCTATACCAGTTAGCGAAAATATGCCCTCATAGTCCCTAATACCACATTCAGCAATTCTCAACTTGCAGCAAGGACCAAATCCTGAGTTCAGGGTTTGGGATTTCGGGTTTTAGGGCGTTTCGGGGTTAGGGGGTCAGGATTCACTTCCAAGAGTCTGTCAATCTTCACGGTCCCAAAGGCACGAAGCCGAAATCCGTAAAAGCCTCCATATCGCAGTAAAGCAGTCGCATGGCGTGGGACAGAGGCACCATGCAGACCCTGGAAGGGCGGATTCCCATCTGAGGCTACGATGGCAAGGCTCGCTGGGTCCCTTGCGAGGCACCCGAGCAGGCCCTCCGGATGCATGAGTTCCGTTTGCTAAACTCTCCGGCGGAGGAGTGTCTGTGTGTGTATGTGTGGGTGTGCGTGTGTGTGCGTGTGTGTGCGTGTGTGTGTCTGTGCGTGCGTGTGTGTGTGTGTGTGCGTGCGAATAATTTCTCGGTTTTACAGTTTTACATTAAAGTCAAGTTGTACGGGATCCTCAAGAGTCCCACTGAACGATACCCCTACTATTCGAGGCCCCCGCAATCATCCCATTATACCTTTGACCTAAACCCTCTAACCCTAACTCTAACCCATCCTAAACTTAAACCCTAAGCATCCTAGACCCTAAACCCTAAACGCTAAACCCTAAATCCTAAACCCTAAACCCTAAATCCTAGACCCTAACCCAAAACCGTAAACCCTAAATCCTAGACCCTAAACCATAAACCTCAGACCTTAAACCCAAAACCTTAAACCTTAAATCCTAAACCCTAGACCCTAAATCCTAGACCTTCAACCCTTAACCACGAACCCAGGAGCCCTCTCCTTCCATGCCAGGAGCAGAGCTTGGAAGAGTTCCGGAGCAAATGGGAGCCGCTCCCCGACGCGGGCAGCGATTCCATAAAGGACCCCCCCCGGGGATTGAGAGGAACAGAGTCTCAGAGTATCAGGGTAAAAGGGGTGGTGCCCTAAAGTAAGGGCCTTTGCCCTTGATGGATTCCCAAGATGTACACATTACCGGAAAACAACTTTGGATAACTCGATATACACCTCGAGTCAAGTGAAAATGGCCACGGCGACTTGACCGATGTGCGGGCGTTCGAGTGATCTTTCGTAGGTTCTGATGGTGACTGGGGTAGGGGTTGTCCAAGCATGGCCCCCGAAGAAATCTTGTCGCCGCTGCTGGACAGGACTACTACTTCAGCTCCTATGCAGCCAAGCTTGAATCAATGACGAGTGGGTTCACGTGAAATAGAAAATCAGTTCAGCGAGTGGTCGAGCTTAGTGTCCATGTTGGCATCCTATATCCTGCTCAGGCACGTTTCGGCATCCACGAGGATATGCTGAAGGACTCTAGCAGAGGGTTAGCGGCTCAAGCCTAGGCAGTCCAGCGTTGAAGTCCTTCTCCCTTCCAAGGTGAATGCCACGTGGTCGAGTGCCTTTGGAATCTGCACCTGCTTTCAGGACTGCGTCCGCACCAGTGGCTACATGAATGTCATCAGCAGTGCCAAGGCAGTCGATGAATTAACGGTGTAAACATGCAAGGCATGCAGGTACAGAGTTCGAAGTCATCGACACAACAGAATAAGTCCACATGTGAAAACTGTTAAACATCAGCCATGGGAATTAGATGAAGGGCTGATAGTGTCCGACCTTGTGGACCGAAAGTTCTGGGAACTGTGGGTTAATGTCACAGTCCCTCCACGTCCCTCCGCGAAGGCATTGTTTCACGGAAAGACGGTGCTGGACGTCGGCGCAGGTAGTTGGGCAAGACAGTCTTGATCAGAGCGTGCACATGTCCGTTGAAGGTGTGTTGCTTGACTTGAGTCGGCATGGAAATCGAAGCTTGAAGAGTCTTGGTGGGGATCTTTGGTCCTCAGCTTGAGTCTTCAAGCTGCTTCGCAAATGAGGCACGGGCATTCTATCACTGTTTGCCGCTCGCGCGGGTGCGGCGCGGGTCGTGGGTATCGAGTGCTCCAACATTGCGAGCTACGTGCGAGGCTTATCTCGCCTTGTTGGCTTCCCTTCATGTGCGAGGCATTGTCGAGTGGGCATGTAGGCAAGAGGAGCCTCCGTGCACTTCATAGTTTTGTGGCTAGCCCTGTAGAACCTCTGCGAAACACATCGTTTGCTCAATTGAAGCCTGAGGCAACTGAGATCGCTCGGCGAAATGGCTTCGGCGAAGTCATCACCTATGTCCAGGGCAAGGTGCGGTGGCTGTTTAGGGTTTAGGGTTTATGGTGCTAGGACAGCTACGGCAACTGCAGGAGGTGGATCTATCGGCAGAGCTTGTACTGAATTTACGGAGCAGCGCAGTAAGTAAGTGGTTGAGGATTTCCCTTGGTGATTTCCTGCTCATCCGGGGTTAGTCGTACTTCTTCTTTCACTCGGTTTACGTAGAGGTCGCATCCACCGCAACATGTATGTATATATATATATAGATAGAGATACACACACACATATATGGTTATATATATATATACTCGTATATATGGAAACCCCTACACACAGATATGGGGAGAGATGGGATGGATAAATGTGATGTATGCAGCGGCAATGGGTAGGTAGCTAGGTATGTAGGTCGGTCCGTCGGTCGGTCGGTCGGTCGGTCGGTCGGTCGGTCGGTAGGTCGGTCGGTAGGTAGGTAGGTAGGTAGGTAGGTAGGTAGGTATGTACATATATATATATATATGTGTGAGAGAGAGAACCTGTGTGAATACATATACATATACATGTGTGTGTATGCACGTGATTGATGGATGGAGGTATGCATGCATACTTGGATGCATAGAAAAACTGTTTTTGTGCACATGTCTGTACCTGCAGCTTCTGCACTCGGGTCTTCCCAGGTCGAAGAAGTCGAGATCCCCGTCGACAAGGTGGACATCATCGTCTCGGAATGGATGGGCTGCTTGTCCAGGCTACTCTGTCATTTCTCGGCTGCACCTTCCACGGAGGACTGGTCCACTCTCCCATCAACACCAGTCTGAGTTGTTTGCAGCTTCCACAGTGCAGCAGAGCCATCACGTTCAGATTGTTTGCCTCGGATTGCTTGATTGGTTTTCGTATGGCCGGTAGGGCCCGCAGCACTGATTTAGATCCTGGGTTTAGGGTTTAGGGGTTTAGGGTTTAGGGTTTAGGGTTTATGTTGTCAGTGGCTTTCTGTTTCGGTCGAAGCTGACATGGTTGATGGCACACTCTTCGTGGTACTGCCGTCGTTGAACCAAACTTCGCAAGTGCCACAGAAGCCACAAGTGACAGCTAAGGTTACTTCCTGATGTTTGCCGCTTGGATGCCACAGCTTGATTGAGTTCGCCATCTCATCCAAATTCTAACTCTCTTGCCCAATATCGGAAGCATCACAACCCATAGCGCAAATCATGTATGTGTTCCTAATGCCGTGCCGCGTAATATCGTTTGACCTCTGAAGTATATCTGCTCCTCAGCTGTTGCAGTGAAAGTACGTACTTGCACGTGTTGTAGCATGGAGCTGTTACACTGTGCCCGTTCGCGCATGGCATTCAGGGACGGGCATTCGTACATTCGTGCGCGGCTTTGCTTCGGGCCTTCCTTCCTTGCCCCACCGACACCAGAGCCCGGGATTCTCAGCCACGCACGCATCTCTTTCATGTCTAATGATTGAACTGCCGAATCCGGACCACTCCTGCTTCAGTGCTTCACCTCCAAAGTAAGCTCTGGAAGCAAACATCCGCGCCCGGAGAACTACCTGTACGTGTAGCCAAGCAGAGTTGTCTCGCAGTGTCATCGCGCAACGGAAAAGTCTAAGCTCGCTACTCGCAGAAAGCTGAGCAACCTTTCCGGTTGTCAAACGGAGGATCGTCTGGAGTCTGAATCTTCACATGCGCGGTTGGCCAAGATGTTTTCGAAAGGCATGCCAACCCGAGGTCTGCACCCGTTAGAGACGTGTCCCCATGAGTCTTCTGTTTCTTTCGCCTTTCCAGATGTCGATGTCCAGAGAGCCCTGAGGAGTCGATGCTGGACAGCGTCCTGTTTGCCCGGGATAAATGGCTGAGATCAGGCTGGGAAGGGGATTCCTTGAACATGCGTCATCGTTTATCTTCAGGCCTCTTGCCAGTTCAATGTCATGCCCTTGTGCCCAGAATCAGTCGGATCTTTCAGGGGGCCACCTCTTCCCTGACCGAGCAAGCCTCTTCATGGCTGGCATCGAGGATGCCGAGTACAGGGAGGAGAAGCTGCTGGACATGGAATGGTCACGGTGCATGCTTTAAACATTTAGGAATCTAGGGAATCTAGGGAAACTGACACACTGACATGTAGCATACGATGCTGTTGGACACTCATCGTGCTTGCGATAGTCGTGATTGAGTTTCGGGGAGGATTTCACGATGTATGCACAATGTGATGCTGATGCTCTGTCAGTAGACGAGTGGGCAACCACACGGTGTCGCTGCAGCAAGACAGGGCTAAAGGTAGCCGTTGGGCATGTTCGAGTCTTCGAGCTGCAGCCGACGGAAGTTCATCCGGAACACCGCGAAGAAGCCTTCGCGGCAAATTTGAAACCCAAAAGTGTGCGAAGATCCACGGCCGAGAACCACACATTTGAGAATCGAAAGCTGAGGCTTGGTCAATGGACCCACCTTCGTGGCTTCGACTTTAGTCCGCTGGCAGCGTATGTGCGCGGCTCAGTTGAGGTGTTGGGGTTAGGGGGCCTTCAACCCAGGCTTTGGTTGTTTACTTGAAAGGCTTGGGGGTGTGATGCTTGGGAAGCGCATAGCAGGGGTTACCTTGCTTGGGAGCTTCTCACCTCCTGTAAGCCGGATACCCGCGCAAACTACTCAGATTATGACTGGAGCATGTAGAAATTAGTTTCAATATGCTTTGCTCGTCACCTGCATTCTGGAGATAGTTGCAGCCTCAAGAAGACAAACCTCTAGTTTTAATTTTCTGCAAAGCCACATGCCTGGCATAGACGACATTCGCTGCCAGCGGCGTCGTCGTGGTCGGCGCATCGTTCTTGTACCAACACCAACACCAGAATTTCACTGTGAAAGGATGAAGTACTGATGATAGAAGATGTCATGGTGATGTCAAGATCGGAAGGACTCAGGGACTAGAGCTCATGACGAAGATGACGGCGATTAAGCATCCGACGACAAGAGCCACTTGAATGAGCTGCTGCATCCTTCCGCTCATGTTGCCAAAAAATTTTGGGCTGCGTTTTCCCAGCGATCTTTGCAGCGGTCCTTCTTGCATCATAAAAACTGCTGTTTACCACCACAGTCATCCTCGGCAGCCGTGCAAACCACCCTTTTCGCACGAGCAACAGACATGTCAGATGGCCGCTCTAGGACCCTTCAGCTGCTCCGCCAGCACCTGAAGCCCCGAGGCATCGAACACGATGTCTTGCCTGAATCAGAACACAGAAGCTCACGATCAATGTGGTCATCCCTCCCATGGTTTTTTGTCCGGAACCAGGGTTGCATGTCGGGTGCCTGTTCAGGAGGAGTTTATGTTCGCACGGACCTTAATTAATGAACAGCACAAAATGAACTAGAACATACTAGAACTTCTCTCATGATTGCCAGCGTCTCATTTCACCAGTGCCTGCCTTTCCTACATGTTTCGGAAAATCTCACAAGGCCATCCAAGAGCCCATCTCGGACATCGTTGAGCCGCTAGCACTGGTCACAGACACGGCGTGTGTGCGCAGCTCAGGGAGGGCGGGAGAACGGAAGGGCTTGAGGAGTCTGTGATTGAAATCTAATACTCAAGACATTCATCTGGAGCAGCCTGCCTGTCTGTGTCTGTGTGTGTGTGTGTGTCTGTGTCTGTGTCTGTGTCTGTGTCTGTGTCTGTGTCTGTGTCTGTATGCATGCATTGAAGCATGCATGCGGCATGCATCCATGGATGCCTGGATGGATGATGATGGATGTATGGATGGATGCATGGATGGATGGATGGATGTGACACCTTTGTTCTGCAGGGGCAGGTTTACGAGATCGTTTCCCAACCGAGATCCCCAAACTGCAAGAAACCCAAAGCACTTAATTATTGGTTCAAGGGTAGCGAGCTTGGCTTCCATGAAACAACGGGTCGCTCACCACTTTAGGTTCCTTCTACAGTATAGCTGTTTAACCCAGAGGATCCTTTACCTCGTTTTGCCCGCTTCCTGTCCCCGGCAGTCGATGGCTTGGGGTTGGGATGTAGTCTTGTGTCTTGTTAAATGTTTGAGTCTCAAAGTTTGTATATTGCTAAGCTCTTCAGTCCTACATCAGGCCAAGATGTCAGGGGTCTCCTGGCGCCATGCCGGAGCAAAACGTGCTTAACTTGCGGACATATACCCCCGAACCCTCGCCGTAACTGGAATTCAGAGCACCTGCCTGTGAGCTTCTCAGAGGTCTTCCAGATGGACCTCAGTGTCGTCAAGTGCGTCTCAGTCGCAGAGGCAAACTTCAGGGGCTAAGGCCTTTCTAAGCTGTCGTTGTAGGTTGCTGTTGATGACAATCATTGCAGTGTCGGTGAAGTCTGTTCATGATGGTGTTGGCGATGATTACTCACATCTGGCCGTGAGCTGTGCATAGGAGCTTCTGAAACAACTCGGACCTCGTTCCATGCAGTCCGCGCTTGTTGTCAACCAAATGTGACCTCAGCCTGACTGCACTTCACTGCAGCCTTAGGCCCAGCTTTCTTCACGCTTTAAGAGCTGGTGGATGCTTTGTTTGAGAGCGAGAAGTGCCCTGCATCCAGTTTGATACTACCCTACGTGGTGGTGAAGGCAAAAGGTACTGGGCTTTGCGGTTTGTCCTCCGGAATAGTCCGACAGCGCTCCGCCCCTTTCGGCCCCCATCACTGCAAGCTCAAGGTCATGAGCTGGACTTTGTGTCGTTCGGAGCTTAGTGACGGTTACTGGATTCCTGTGAGAGTTCTGGGGAATCACTGGATTTCTGCTGGGTCCCTTGTGCGGCTCGTCTCGTTTGGGAGTTGATGCAGACTCTGTCTGGAAGGCCTCGAGCACACAAGCAGCCTATGCAGAAGTCGTGCCCAGGCCATTTTCGCTGAAGTCTCACCGCCAGGACTTCATCCATGCCTTGGTACGCCCTGCGTGGTTACGCAAAGGCTTCGTTCAGGTCTCACATTTCAGTCAGCGGCCCTGGCTTTGAGCCTAAACTGTAAATTATGTAAGCTCTGAAGCTAAGAAATTCTGAGTCCGTCACGAGAAAAAGCGATTAGGGGAAGCCTTGACACAATCTATGTCATTCAACACAAAACTTTGATCCGTGAAGCTTATACGTGAACATACTGCGAGGCCCTCTTTTGTTCATGATGTGATGACCCTTAACACGAGCTCTGCTAAATACAGCGTGGAGGCTTGTTACAGTTAGGGGGGGTGTCTTCATTAGGGGTCCCTGCAATAAGGGTCCTATTGCGCAGGGTCTGTATTACGGGTCATAGGGTCCGCTATTTTGTGACACTCCTCTATGGGAGTGCCATGAGTATCGGACGCTCAGAAGCTGACTGCTTGTCTTCCACGCCCTTGGAGACCAGGGAGCCCGAGAAATCTTCATGTGTTGTAGCATCCTGGACGTTAAACCAAGAACCCTAAAGCCTGAACCCTAAATGGGGGTTTCCTAAAACAAGGGGATCCTAATATAGTACCCTAAATAGTGGGATCCTCATTATAAGGACCATAAAACAAGGTACCCCTTATTTTGGGGAAACTCCCAAATCCCTCAAGCCAGTGCCAAGCTGCTCTTCCCAGCGGTCGGAAACCCTAAGGGGTCCATGTACCCAAATAGCATGTACTTTGGCCCCAAAGTACCTTTTTTAGGGACTACTTGAAGGTCAAAGTATGTACTGTTTGAGTACATGGACCCTTAGGGAAAGATCCTGTTTTGGAGAACGCCCGGCCAAAGAGGACTGAGAGGAAACGTTTGATGATGAGTGCTTGCGGCTTTTAGGGTCTATATAGGGTTTAGGGTTAGCGTTTTCGGTTTAGGGTTTAGCATTTAGGGTTAGGGTTTTGGGTTTAGGGTTTAGGACAGGTTTTGGGACGTAGGGCCCTTTCATAGCAGGTTGTTTGGTTCGACGTCTTCTTCGATGCTGCGCCTGACGCCAGGCACTCAGAAGGGAGTTGCATGGGGGTTCCACTCTGTGTCAGGGTGTTTCCACGGATCGATACCTCATCACATGTAATCTCCGACTTTATGAGTTACCCTCGCATTCTTCATTCGTCCTACAACCTCATCCCGGGATGCATGAAACCCACAGATCGCCTGTATCTACACAGAGAGGGCCTATGAGCCCCGAACCCTAGGAAGCGAATCTGTC